TGTAATTTCATATTTGGAAGAGATGCAAAGAATCCACTCATTAAACGCATTGCTCTCATATATTTGTTATCACCATCTATTGTAAGAGAAAGAAAAGCGTGTCAATACAGTTCATAGTCATTTCTGTGAGGGTGAGGGTGATTGATTGTATTCTGAGAATCTCACAAACAGTTTCACCGACTAGTGATTGTACTAATCGATAAAAATCATTACCATCCAATGTAAACACATTGTCTGGTACTAGAGACGTTTAATGATAATAAATTTTATGATTTTGTCAAAAATATTTGTGGAGAGACTGAAGCTGAATTATTAGAAGTGCAACAAATAGCAAATGCTCAGTCTTTATTATTGACTGATGATATATTTGGTATTATGGATGTCGATTGTCTCGATTTAATTAATTTAAAAAAGAAAATATCATTTACATTAGCTGATGGTTTATTTCTTTTAAAAGCTGGTATTAAAGCAAATATTAAATATTTAAAAGAACTATTTTTGAAAAAAAATGAAGAAATAATGAAAGAGACAAAATTAAAATCAAAACAACAAAGAACCGTAACAACAGCTGCTAGTAATTCCACTCCACCACCGTCATCATCGATTATAACCATACCACCAGTTTCAACTAATTCAGCTCCTCCATTACCACTACCAACAATGACAATACATGAACATAAAGATTTTATATTAAAATTAATTAAACAGTGGTGTTTAGATAATAAAGAAAACGCTGGTTTAGATGATTTTCAATTAAGAGGTGGAGAAGATTTTACATTAAAATTCCATAATAACCATAATATTTTAGAAGCAGCAATTATATGTAAATGTGGCTCAAATTTCTCATTAACGAAAAAGGATAATAAATTTCAATTGTCAAATTTTTACAAACATATAAAAAAACTGAATTGTTCATTAATGAAAGAATTTGTAACGAAAAATAACAAAGAAAAAAGAACTAATGTTCAAATACCATCATCACCGACATCACCAGTACAGTCACAACCATCAGTTCAAATAATAACGAATCCTATAGCTGCACCATCTCCATCCACAAGTAGTACATCAACAACAGCACCAACGAAAAATAATTCTAAACGTTCTGCACCAGCATCAAGTATACCAGCGCGATCATCAAAGCGAAGAAAACTATAATTATTATTTATTTTATCATTTGTTTACCATTAGTTTTATCGTTTCTATTTTTTTGTATTTTATTGTATTATTATGAAGTTTTTAACCAAGTAATTGTCTTTTCATTATTTGTATTTAAGATTTATTTACTCCTAGTCGAATATTATAATTTAACTGTGATATTTCTATCTTTTTTTTATTATTCCTTTTATACTCCAGTTCTTTTATATATATCTATTTATTATTCACGATCACAAGTAATGTATGTTTAACAAAGCGTGCATTCACGTCGACCTGAGAAATATGAGATGTGTCGTTGATCGGCTCTTTATATACGAATTAGATGTTCATTGAGATGTTGTATATGGAAACTGGTTGATGTTGAGCTTTACAAGAGCTCTTGGACTCCTTGACTTCAGGAGTCCATAGAAGTCCATGGGAGTCCATGGGAGTCCAGGAGTCCGCTTTTTCCCCCTCGGTTTTCTATCTATGTGTGTGTGTATATAAGAAATCACTCTATGTTCAATCCTTACGCCGCTGTTCTACAGAATCTCACTTTCAAATCAGAACTCGGACATTTGATTAAAACATTCAAAATGAATGGCTATCCATTTCATATAATTAGACGGAGTATAAGAGAAGCACTTATGATTTATAAGAAATTGAATTCCTCTTCATCATTTCAGCCTCAAGCTGTGCAAAAAGAAATATATTTCGTTTTCTCTTATTACGGGCACGAAACTATCGAATTAAGACAGAACATTCAAACTCACTGAGAAATTACTTCCAAATGTGATAATAAATCTAGCCTGTCGAAAATCATTTACATTAAAAAACGTGTTCTTGCCATTACAAAAAGAAAACGATGAAACACGAACGAAAAAGAAATTAGTTTATTCTGTTCAATGTAAAAATTGTGATCTAAAATATATTGGTGAAACGAATCGTGATAAGCAAACAAGAATGCGTGAACATAAAAATGACATAAAGAAAAATAAACAAACATCACTAATAGCTCAACATTCGAATATGAATAATCATATGATGGACTTAGACTATGCTGAAACCCTAACACTAGAGTCAACCTGGAAACGACGTGTAATAAAGGAGAGCATATTAACACATCAATCAAAAGGCTTGGTAATAAATGATACAGCCTGATGATGATACTGTGAAGTATCGAAAGCTCGCTTCTGGTGTAAAATGATTTTACAAAAATGTTTTTCAATTATTGTAAATATACTTAGTTTTATAAGAAACGTAAAAAAGTCAAAGAATGTCAATATATTGGCAATAAATGAAACTAAATATTGGATAAGCACTCAATAAGTGCAGTTTTATGGGCCCAAAAACAATGTTCTAAAGAACATAAGAGCGTTCTTATATACACACACACACACATAGATTAAAAACACAACGTGGTTTCTTGGTTTTTTTCTCTCTTTTTTCTCTTTTGTGAATTTTAAATGTATATCGTTTTCCACTATGTAAAAATAATCTAGTTTCTGATGATGACAGAAAATTCTGTCGAAATATCAAAATCAATTCCACTATGATTAGTTAATCATAATATTTACAGCAGTTTTATATTTCATTTTTCAATTATAGACCTTTAGATAAAAGATTGAGTAAATATTGACACTGATGTATGCTTGCCTTCGATGCACTGGATATTTTATAAGAAAATATTTCGGTTATTATCATTTTATTCTAGACAAAGATTGTTACGAAGCATTACTATCTTTGTTACATATATTCCAAACAAATCGATTCAGATAAATCAAAACTACGAATAACAAGTAAGTATTTCGTTTGATTTAAAAATAAATGTTGATATGCATTGAGCTCGTAGTGTATTATTATAGATACTTATTCTCGGGAGACCCAGTGCTGTTTCTGTTTGTTTGAAGTTGGCCATGACGGAAATTCAAACCGTTTAGATTTGAATTCGGTATTAAGAGTGATCGAATAGTTTATTTTTTAGCCTACGAGGAAACATTTCCATGTGTCGGTTTGCTTTCGAGCCAGGATTGTGCCAGGAGTGTGCATCATATAGACCCTAATGAATATGAATATCATAAAAAGAGTTCGTGCTTATAGCTTGTTCCAGAGTTGTAACCGGTCAAAAATTTTAAACCGGTCCAAAATTTCAACCGATCCGGTTCGGCCGGTGGAAAAAACTTTTCAGACCGACAAAAACTGACCGGTTTGTTAGGTCGTTTACTGTCGATTAAAGGAAGAGGCTTCAAAAAACACTGTAGACTAGTTTTATTCGGACGGATTACTAGCGGCAATCTTTAAAATAAATGCGTGGCAAACGAGCCCTACACTTGCCTTGGTGCTAGAACAAGGATATTTATGTGTATCACCGTATTCATCGACGCAGCAAAATACGGAAAAATTACACTAGTGATGAAGCTATGACCACCTTCAGAAGGTGCCAAGCCGAAAATTCGTGAAAAACCTGTTATTCGGCCTCGTCATTTGACTTTTTCGCCCACAGAATATGAGGTACCATTACCAAAATAACGTGGACGTATGCAGTTTTCAATGCTCTATGCCATGATGGCAAAATGTGCTGTTGAAAGTTTAGCCAATTTTAGGAAAATCCATTTTTTTCTAACTTACAGGCGAAAAAGTCGGAATTATGCCCATAATTCTCAAGTCTCTCGATCAGAACTCAACTTTTGAGCAATAAAAATATCATATTTAGAATCGGGATCAAAAACTGAGTCGACTGATGTGTGCTTCGAAATGTTTAGTACATTTTCAATTCTGGGTGAAAATCTCGATAAGTTTTCAACGTGAAAATTCTAAAAATATTAAAGTAGCCAGATAGGATAGAAATATACATCAGTCAACTTAGTTTTTGATCCGGATTCCAAATGGGGCGACAGAAGAACGTTTGAGTTTTTCTTGAGCTTTTTATACTCTTAACAGCACTAGTGTAAACTCGCGAACTAACATAAAAGCATTTAGGCCAGAAGAACGCTAAAAGAAGGGCAGGCATGCATCCGTTGGTCTCCGCCTGGATTGCGCCACTGGTATTGCCAGGGCAATGAATAGAGAAGGTAATTCTCAATAAAGCGAGACTGCAAC